TTTGAGGTTAACACTATTTCGGTACTTATACTTGACAAATTGACTTTTTATTAAAAGAAATTTTCGTCCAAATTTGTCTATTATCACAGATGCTGTTGATTAGTGTTGCACAAGAGAAGAATTCTGTTTTGAAAATCAATTTCTTTTCTTGTCTTGAAAATCAAGACAAGAAATTGCTGGCAAATTTCTTGAATGGCAAAGTCCTGTCTTGTCTTGCAAGAGTCTTGAAATTTTGTCTTGAAAAATTTAACATTCTACAAAAAATAATATTTTATATTTTATTTCATAGCAAGCGTCGTATACAAAATGTAATACGGAAAATGAAACAACGATGTTAATTTTAGCAAAAATCTTTTAACGGACTGCAAACGAATCCACGCCAACTGCCCGTTTGACGAAACAGGCACCATTACCAAATAAAAGCTGTTAATTTGTTAGTTTATTATGTTCTATTTTGGTTACCCGTTTGTTAATTTTATTTTGCATTATTACTTTTTATTATGGAAGATCGGTTGGAAAAGTTTGGACACAGGGTGTACGGAAAGTTCATGCTAGAGTGTACTAATTTGCGCTATTTGATACTACTTTTTATTCGCGGAGCAAATTTCGTGCATGAAAAGTAGTACCAAATAGCGTGCTCCACGAACCACCATTAGTTTCAACTACCGTTAGTTTTATTTTTTGTAATACCATTATACCAATAATTTTGTGTATAATACCAATTACCAATATACGGTTTGTTGCCTCGATCTTATTTTACTTATATCTTTACTCTAAACACTGGGCTAAGATAGAAAAAAAAATGAACATTGTAATATCATTAATGGTTAAGGCGAACATTTGCATAAGTCGTTATCATAATCACAGTCTTAATCATCGTCATAATCACAACGGAATTTTAATGTGCGTAGCGAGTAGAACATTTTCATACTAATTTTTATATCAGTGTTGGGTAACATAATCAAAGGCTAAATTCATGGTAGATGTCAACAGGTTTATAAGAATTGGATAGTTTAACTTTTATGATTATGACTATGATTGTGATTATGACTATGTAAATGTTGTATAAACCCGGCATAACTTACGCAAAGACCTAGTTATCACTTAAAAAATGTATCATTTCTAACATTCCAGAAATCTTGAATTCAAGAAATCTTGCAAGACTCTTGAAATTTCTTGCATATTAAAGTCCTGTCTTGTCTTGAAATTCAAGACAAGAAATTTTGAGTCTTGTCTTGAATTTCTTGCATGAGTCTTGGTCTTGCAAGACTTTTTCAAGACTCTTCTGCAACACTACTGTTGATCCCCCGACCAACATAATTACGGAAGAAATAATAGCAGCAACTGGAGGGAAATAATGAAGTTTGATCCCAAGCTTCTTCCAAAATAGTGTGCAGATTCATAACCATTATAGTTATTCCTGAATAATGTTGACCAAGATTCAACACTGTCATTATATTTAAGGCAATTCTGTTATTCTTGTTTAAAAACAGATCTTGAATTCTTCCTTTTTCGTGTTGCTCTCTTTCAACTGATTTATTTATCTCGTTTAGTTCAGTTTCTACATCCGAAGAACGTCGTAATTTTTGTAGTGCCTTTCTAGCGTTATTTATTCTGTTGACATAGACGAAATAATAAGGAGATTCTGGTATGAATGGGAAGAAAACACATTGGCATACCGTTAAAACGATTCCTATTAGGGGTGGAATATAATATGGTGCATAGGCTCTTATAGTATAAATATGCAATAACTTATTAAATGATGAGCAGGCTGGGTAAATTGCTGACATATATAAAATATGATCGAAAAAAAACAGCGTCAGCGATGGCTTTGAAATGAAGATCGATGCCATTTTATATGTAAAAATTTCCGGGGAATGTCATCTATATTTATTTCAAAGCCTTTCATGATCCAACTAATATTGCTTACATCATAACCACTGTATTTTAATTGATAAAATACTGCGATTGAGGTTAACACTATTTCGGTACTTATACTTGACATTATTAAAAGAAATTTTCGCCCAAATTTGTCTATTATCACAGATGCTGTTGATCCCCCGATTAACATAATGACGGAAGAAATAATAGCAGTAACTGAAGAATTAATGTAGGTTGATCCTGCTTCTTCCAGTATAGTTTGAAGATTCATAACCATTCCTGAATAATGTTGACCAAGATCCAACACAGTCATTATTATCAATGCAATTCGGTTGTTTTTGTTTAAGAACAGATCTTGAATTCTTCCTTTCTCGTCTTTCAACTGATTTCTTTATCTCGTTTAGTTCGGTTTCTACATCTGAAGATGATCGTAATTTTTGTAGTGCCTTTCTAGCAATATTTATTGTATTGACATAGGAGATATAATAAGAAGATGCTGGCATGAATGGGAAGAAAATACATTGGCATACCGTTAAAACGATTTCTATTAAAGGTGGAACATAATATGGTGCATAGGCTCCTGTAGTAAAAATATGCAATAGCTTATTAAATGATTAGCAGGCCACGTAAATTCCTTACACTTATACATAAAATATGATAAAAAAAAACAGCGTCAGCGATGGCTTTGAAATGAAGATCGATGTCATTTTATATGTAACATTTCCTGGGGAATGTCATCTAAGTATATTTATTTCAAAGCCAACTGGATGTTTTTTTAGGCCTAACAGGTCGCAGTGTTCCGGCATAGGACGGCCACTTAATATTAAGAAAAAAAAGTATATGTTAAAAGGTAAAAATATCAATAAAACATCTTCTTGGATTGACTTTATTCAAAAAAACTAAAAAAGAAACAATCATATTAATAGGTCTTAATAAATAATATATATTTAGATTGCATTTGTCAAGTACGTGACTAACGTGAACTCAGATAACAGATGAGCAATTAGATCTTGATATTTTAATCTCGAATATGTTAAAAAACAAATAATAAATACAGTAACAGCGTTTTCACATGCGATGGACCGTCCGTCGTGTTTTTTCAAGATAGCCGTTGAACAAACTCCGTCGGACGGAGCATACGCGCCCATGTGAAATTGTTCATATAAACTCATGGTACTTACTCGAGTTCACGGACGCTCCGTCGCGGACGGTGCGTCGCATGTGAAAGCGCTGTAAATATATATTATTTACCACTTAACATAATTTGGATTTCATCTAGTGTTTTTCCTTTTGTTTCAGGTACAAAGAAAATGGTAAACAGACACATAGAAAAGCTGCAACAAGTCAGAATGTAGAAAGGAACATGTAGACCGTAACTTTCAAATAACCAAGAATACACACATTTACTGATGTTACAGCTCCTACAATATACCAAATTTCAGCAACAGTCATACCAATCGCTTTAATATTAGTAGGAAATATTTCTGCGGTTAATACTATCGGAACTAAACCTAGGCCTAGTTTAAAAGTTGCAGCAAATAGCATACAAGCAACCGCTGGGATCCAACTAATCCTACTTACATCATAACCACTGTACTTTAATTGATAGAAAACTGTAATTGACGTTAACACTATTCCGGTACTTATACTTGACGTTATTAAAAGAAATTTTCGTCCAAATTTATCTATTATCACAGATGCTGTTGATCCTCCGACCAACATAATGACGGAAGAAATAATAGCAGCAACTGAAGAGTTAATGTACGTTGATCCTGCTTCTTCCAAAATGGTGTGTAGATTCATAACCATTATAGTTATTCCTGAATAATGTTGACCAAGATTCAACACTGTCATTATTATCAACGCAATTCGGTTGTTTTTGTTTAAGAACAGATCTTGAATTCTTCCTTTCTCGTGTTGCTGTCTTTCAACTGATTTCTTTATCTCGTTTAGTTCAGTTTCTACACCTGAAGACCGTCGTAATTTTTGTAATGCTTTTCTAGCGTTATTTATTCTGTTGACATAGACGAAATAATAAGGAGATTCTGGCATAAATGGGAAGAAAACACATTGGCATACCGTTAAAACGATTCCTATTAGGGGTGGAACATAATATGGCGCATATGCTCCTGTAGTATATACAATGATAACTCCGAGCAGCATCATCAGATATATTAAAGCAGATAGAAAGCCTCTGATTCGATGGTGAGCTATCTCGGCAACGTACATCGGTGCCGCAACAAAGCACATGTCTCCGGCCATTCCTGCGAAAAATCGAGCGGCATATATAACTTCTTTGTTCGGCGCGAAAATAAGAGTCAGCCAACAAAGGGATCCGAGAAACGAGGCTATCAGCATGGATTTTTTTCGTCCGATTTTATTTACGGAAAATAGGACGAAAGGCAAACCCAGGCGCTTCCTAGCAAGTTGATCGTTTCCATAAATTGGGCTTCTTGCTGGGTCATTTGGATGTGACCCCTCGCCCTCGGTAAAGTAGGGAATCATGGGGGATGTCCATCCGTATGTCATGCCATCAGATACTGCAGCCAGGGTTCCTGAATAAAAAAATCTTATTAGTAAACAGAAATAGATATAACATAAGATTTTTTTTAAAGTTAATTTCAATTCATTGTATGCAGCATGTCGCTCCTTGAACTATATTGTGATTTGGAAGTGGTACAGCACCAATACATTAAGAAAAAAGAATAGCCGACATATCATTTACCTATTGTATTACTAAAATGTATGTTAACTTTTAAATGCACTTTGAATCGTTGTATTATCAAGTAAACTTTGTATGTCTAACAAACATTTCTTATGGGAAATTATTATTAATAAAATTACTAAAGTAATTATTAAATAATATTACTAAAGTGTATATACGTATACGGTCCCGAATACACGTTTTAAATTACGCTCTTAAATCCGGTGTGTTATTTAGCGGATATAGACAAACTTAAAAATTGAGATTTGCATGGGGGAAAATAGTAGTGGCAGTAAAGCCGCTAATGGCAAAATCGCGGATGTTAGCGATAACATTGTGCGAAAAACTAGGTCTTTTTCCGTCGGTTCTACAGAATTCGCGGAAATAAATAAACTGACCGGGGGCAAAAAAACTTTAGATATAAAAAGGTATACAGATAAACAACAACGAGATAAGCAGAAATGCACGGACAATGTAGATAATCGACCGAGCATACCGGGGGACGTCGGAAAGTTTGAAAGTGAGTATGGAATGAATCAGGACGAAATTTTTAGACCTCAAAGAGCGGTCGCGCGCACTCCTCCACCGATGACGTCACAGACACTCTACGGCAACCAATGTAATGAAGAAAAAACATCGGGTAAGAGACTGGGGCCTGATATGTCGCCAGGTGTGGAAAACCAAAATAAAAGGCAGTGTGACTGGCTAAATGATAATGTTCTGAACAAAGCAGAAAAACTTTCTTTTGTAAATAATACTCTTCAAGAAAATAAAGAGAAAAATAGCATAACTATGGACCAGTTATTATCAAAAATGTTTGACGCACTGGATGATATAGAAAAAGTAACCAATAAAGGAAAACAAGATATAGTAAGAATGGCTACAACAACTATATACAAAAACTTATCTCTAATCGCGTATAAAATTGGACAATTAGAACAAGTGAAAAATTCATTGGAGCATAAGTTACAACTGCAAGATATATATACTAAAAATGCTACTGAAAAAAGTAAAAGAGAAGAGACCTCACAAACCATACTAACACGGCAGAAAACATATGGTGGAGTAGCACAACCATCGCAAATATCACCGGTTACAGCATCAGTAGAGAAAAACGAAGAATTTTGGAAGACGCCAACAACATCTAAAAAGCTAGAAACTATTGTTCGTATAGATAAACTAGTTGATTCAAAACAAACACTTCGACAGCTCAAAAAGGAAATTACTATTAAGGATACAGACGGAGGATTTAAAAATATAAAAGAATTGAAAAATGGAGCAATAATAATAGAGAGCTGCAATGAAACTCAGCAGAAAAACCTAAGACAAGTATTAGAGAACAAAAATAATATAAAGATTAAGGAATCACAAATCCTTAGCCCAATGTTTATGATTACTGGAATTTTGAAAGAGGGGTACTCGGATACTGAATTTATTGAAGAACTTATTAGATTAAATAGCGAAATTGAAACCGATCTCCCCACAACTAATGTGAGAGAAAATATTAAAGTCAGAGCTAAGCGAAGATGTCGAAATCCAGCAAAAGAAAATTGGATCTTGGAAGCGCAACCATCGATAGCTAAATGGTTTTTAAAAAAAGGTACTGTAAACTTTGATTTCATGAAAGTTTTTGTACATGAACATTTGAATTTGGCTGTGTGTTATAACCGTGCCGGATTTGGACACATTTCAAATCACTGCAAAGAAGCACAATCTTGCTACAAATGTGGAGCGACGGATCATTGTGGAAAAGAATGCACACAAACTGTTTTTAACTGTCCTAATTGTATTAAAATGAAATATAAACCAGGAGATAGTCATCACTCGGCCCTTGACATGAATTGTCCTGTATATCAAAGGCGCCTAATGAATTACAGAAGTCAAGTAAACTATAAAGATAAGTCATTTTTAAGTAATCAGGGTACATGTGAGAACTCTGGAAAGACAACTAAATTAAACTCGAACAAGCCAAAATAAACTTTATCCATCAAAATCTGCAATCAATAGGAAATTCTATTGAACTAATTGAAGCATTTTTAGACGATGAAAAACTTTGTAAAGTTATGTGTAACAGAACACTGGAAGACGGAAGATCAGCTGAAATGTTACAAAATAAGTGACTTTAATCTTGTATCAAGTTTTTGTCGTAAAATACCTAATTCTCACGGTGGTAGTGCAATATTTGTTGAGAAAAACTTACAGTGTAAAGAACGAAAGGACATTTACCGTTTTGGAGAAGAGAATATATTGGAGTGTTGTGGATGTGAGACAATGCTAGCAGAAAGAAAATGTATAATAGTATGTATATATATAGACCACCAAATAGTGAATTTGACTTATTTTTAAACAAATTTGAAGACTTATGTGAAAAACTACATAACGAAAATGCATGTATATTTATTCTTGGTGATTTTAACGTAGATTTTCTAGTCAGTAATAGAAATTGTCAGTCTCTATTATCGGTCATGCGGTCATATAATCTGCACTATGCTATTACCGAACCCACAAGAATATGTAAAAACAGTTCTACCTGTATCGATAACATAATTACCAATTTTAGTGAAAATTATAAAACTTATGTATTGCACACTAAGGTCTCCGATCATACTACTGCACAAAAATTAATTTATATCGGAACATAAAGATAAAAAAAGAGAAAAAGTTCGAATATTCAGTCAAAAAAATAAAGCATTGTTTAAGTCATCCTTAACAGAAATATCATGGGATACAATTTATAAGCTGCCACCTTCGCATGTAAATAAACAATGGGACTTATTTCTAAAAATTGTTTTAACACATTTTAGCAAATGTTTTCCTTTAGTAGAGAAAAGAAAAATGACACCCAAAAAAAAACATTATAAAGAGTGAAGCAACTATAAAATGTAAAAAAGAACTCGATATATTATATATGTTAAGAGAAAAAAATCAAAGTTATTCGCAAATTTATAACAATAAAAAAAAAGGAATATAACAAATTATTAACTGAAAATAAACAAAATAGTTTTAACAAAATGTTAGGAAAATCTGAAAATAAATCTAAAACTAGTTGGTTTATTGTTAATGAGTTAACAAGTAGAAAAAGTAGTGAAAAGAAAATAAACATTGAAGGTAGTCCTTCAGAAGTTGCAAACAAGTTTAATCATTTTTTTATAAACTCCGCATTATCACTCTTACAAAAAAATAAGCAAACTCCCTTTACCTGTAATGTTCCATATTATCATGAAAATTTTAAATTTAGCAACGTAAGTATACAAGAATTAAATAACTGTGTAAAACAATTAAAAAATAAGCATAGTGCAGGTTATGATGAGATTTCTACATGTCTGATAAAATTTGTAATTAATGTTATAGATAAGCCATTGTGTTACGTAATAAATAATTCGTTCAGATATGGTATATTCCCGGACCGATTGAAGCTTGCCTTAGTTATTCCTGTATATAAAAAAGGAGATGACTCTGATATCGAAAACTATCGCCCAATAAGCACATTATCGTCATTTTCAAAAATTTTTGAAAAAATTATGTGCAACAGAATATTAAATTTTATGTTCCGAACAGGACAATTAAATAACGTACAGCATGGGTACTTAGAAAAAAAATCCACCGTCACAGCTTTGTTTAATTTCTGCAATGAAATATTGAAATCTTTAGAACAAAATGATATTCCCTTGGGCTTATTTCTTGATTTGTCTAAGGCATATGACACTCTGAATTATGATATTTTATTGATAAAATTGCAATACTATGGATTTCGAGATTTTACACTTAAATGGTTCGAATCGTATTTGTCAAATAGAAAGCAAGTAGTGATCCTCAAAAACTGTAACGGTGTCAAAAGTCTGAAAGTGACGATATAACTCTAGGAATACCTCAGGGAAGTGTAATCGGTCCCATTTTATTCTTAGTGTATATAAATGATATATTAGAAATAACAGAAAATATTAATTATTGTAACATAGTGACATATGCTTGACGATACAAATCTCCTCATTAAAAAGCAAAAAATATGCCAGAGTTGATAGATAGATCAAGGGAAATTATAGACAATGCAAACATTTGGTTTAACAAAAATCAGCTTATTTTGAACAAAACTAAAACTAAAATTATTTTCTTTCAAACGAAGCGCACGAATATACAAGAATCTGATATTATTCTTACAGACGATACACATTTAACACCAGAAAACAACGTAAAATTTTTAGATTATATCTAGACAAAAATCTTTCGTGGAGTTTACATGTTAAACATGTTGTTCAGAAAATCTCTAGATCGGTCTACAACCTGCGCATATTAAAAAAGATATTTAGACTTTAAAACTTTAAAAGTGTATACCACGCCATATTTGAGGAAGTAACATCAGGTATGGAATGGTAATATACGGAAAGTACAAATGAACTACATAAAATATTTTTAGTTCAGAAAAAAGCCTTACGCGTTATGTTAGGCATGAAAATTAGGGAATCATGTAGAAATAAGTTTTAAAGAGAATAACATACTAACAGTGACAGCTATTTTTAATTCAGGAGTGCCACTTTATTTTTCTTTAAAAATAAAACCTATTTAACATTGATAAGCCACAGATAGTATATAACACCAGGCATTCTGATTATAATTATCCAGTCCACAGGCTTAAATTAACAGAATTAGGACCATATTATTATTGTTTGAAATTATTTAATAACCTACCCGATTATATGAAACAAATAGATAATATCGTGCCTTTCAAAAATCATTTGTATAAATTTTTAATAGATTTGGAACCATATAATTTAAAGGATTACCTATCTGTAAATTAATGTAA